GAATCTGTAGGTCATAGTCTTTAATCAGTTCTAGCCATCTCCGCTGTCTCATGTTCAGTTCTTTCTGTGTGAAGAAATATTTTAAACTCTTGTGGTTGGTATATACTTCACATGTCACCCCGTACAGATAGTGACGCCAGATTTTCAGTGCAAATACGACTGAATTTAATCATACCTAATCAGTTTTCAGATAATTATACCATAAAATCATATTAAATATGACAATCATAAAACACTTACCCATTTCCGGTTCGGCCGCCGATAAGGCCTTCAATTAATAGTTTAAACGTAACACACGAACAGATCAAACAAACAGTCAACAGATAAAATGCAATTCAAACAGATGTATTCACTCAATTCAGTTTCAATTTCGGTCAGTCAGTTCAGTACTTTAATCAGTTCAATTCTCAGTCAGTTATCAGTCATTATCAGTTCCGTTTAACAGTAATCGGTGATTATCGGTAATCAATCAGTCATTAATCAGTAAACAGTATGAGGGTTGTTACAGTAATCCAATAAATATTTCCAGACCCATTATTAAGGCTTCATATTCAGCTTGATTATTAGAACAAGTAATTTCATCCACTCTGAAACCATGCATGGTTTCTACTCCTTGTGGTGACTTAATTACTATATCAATTCCAGTTAAACCATTGGCTTTTGATCCATCGAACCACATTTGCCATGGTTCAACACTAGCCATACCAAGTTCCATTATCTCTTGGCTTTCTGTTTGACATAGATGGTCTGTCAAAAAATAAGCTAAAACTTGTTCTTTTACTGCCTTTTGGGGAACATATTCTAGATGAAATTCTGACAAAGCTAGTATCCATTTGCCAATTCTTCCCCTCAACATGGGTCTAGATAACATATACTTAACCAAATTTGTGGTTGCAATTACCAAGACAGTTGTAGGCAAAAGATAATATCTTAATTTCATTGCAGCAAAATTCAATGCAAGGCACAGCTTTTCTACAGCTGAATATTTACATTCACAAGAATTTAAAAACCTACTAAGGTAATAAACAGCTTGTTCTTTGCCTTCTTCATTGTCTTGGGCTAAGAAAGCTCCCAATGAATCTTCTGCTGCAGCTATGTACAACTTCAAGGGCTTATCACCCTTTGGTGGCATTAGCACTGAATGATTGGCCAAGTAGGCTTTGATTCCTTCGAAAGCAGTTTGATGCTCTGCTGTCTACACAAACTCATCTTCATCTTTTAGCTTTAACAAGGAAGAAAATACTTTAGTTTTCCCTGCAGTATTAGAAATGAATCTTCGAAGAAAATTAACATGTCCAAGGAACTTTTGTAACTCTTTCTTACTTGATGGAGGTCTGGCTTCAATGATGGCTTTGGCTTTATTTTGGTCAATCTGTATTCCTTTGTTGTGACTACTATCACGACCCAAACCAACCCCTATAGGTTTTGCATCATAACCGGCCAGTAATCTTGGGATTACCGAAGGCCTCTAAGACAGATTAACATAATATTAGGGGCTAGCAAAAACAAATAACAATATACAACGTCCATTGAGTTGTGCAGACTTATATGAGACAAAAAAAATTTAAAATTTTTGTATACATATATACACATTATCTTTAAGTCATTATATATATGCAGATTAGACAAAAAGGGACTTGGCCCTATTTACAAAATACACAAGACTTGTTCAACCAAACACGAAAACAAAACTTAAGCTTTAAATCACATAGCCATAATCACTTAACGTATCCGGAACCTCCACGGGAGGCACATAGGTTGGCTGACAAAAACAGATTCTTGGCAGATGCCTCTAAGCCTGGTCACGCGCCTGATCACCTACATACATAAATAATACAGTGAGCTAGAGCCCAGTGAATAATAACAGAGTAAGGGGTTTTAATGAATGAGTCCGTACAGATTCAGAATTCATAATTCAGTTTCGTATCAAATTCATAATTTGTCCAAATCATATACAGAAATCATAAGTCATGCGTAAGTATACGTGATACATCCATAAGCGCTAACAGAGTAGATACAAAACAGATGCAAACACGTGAGGGTTATGAATAACCAGTTCCATAAAGGAACCTCCGGATCCGGGTAACAGAGAATAAACATGCTAAGCCCCATGATGGAGTCTCCGGCACGGGTAACAGAGTGCAGACAGATTAAGTTCCATAATAGAACCTCCGATACCGGGTAACAGCCAACACATATCACATGATACTAAGGATGTCACGAATACATATCAGAAATTGGACAATCATTCATTGTACAGAACATAACATTTCAGAAAACAATTCTTATTCCATCATACAGAAAATAAATAAGGTTGAACATAGCTTTACTATGTTATTACTCACAGATAGCCGCAGAAGCAAATCAGACGGACTGGACATATCAGATAAATTAGGCAGACAATAGCGCGTGACCTACACAAGCACATAACATATACACATTGAAATACAATAACACTCCCTTGATCAAACTTGGCTTTTCTAGTCTTTTTTCGTCTAAATAGTCTGAAGTTCTACTACGCTTATTCTTTCTCATTCAAATAAATCGGGTTCTTATTTCACATATTCTTTCATTACTAAACCCTTCTTTTCCAAATAGATTGATCTTTTACTTGGCTTCTTAAACAATTACCACTAGATCAATGATTCATTCTTTAACTAACTAATTTACGTTGATTAGTAGCTTATTAATTTTTATTGAGTCATAAATCATGTCTAGAATGCTTTGGAAAGAGATGAGAATAAAAATGTGAACACACATTGAAATACAATAACACTCCCTTGTTCAAACTTGACTTTTCTAGTCTTTTTCCGTCTAAATAGTCTGAAGTTCTACTACGCTTATTCTTTCTCATTCAAATAAATCGGGTCCTTATTTCACATATTCTTTCATTACTAAACCCTTCTTTTCCAAATAGATTGATCTTTTACTTGGCTTCTTAAACAATTACCACTAGATCAATGATTCATTCTTTAACTAACTAATTTACGTTGATTAGTAGCTTATTAATTTTTATTGAGTCATAAATCATGTCTAGAATGCTTTGGAAAGAGATGAGAATAAAAATGTGAACTAAATGCAATTTTCCAAAATATGCTGAAAATGGGGTCTTCGCTCGAGCGCCACTTTGGTCGCTCGAGCGGACTGTAAATTTTGGAAAACTTCTGGGAGCTTGATTTTCACGCTCGAGCAAGACTTTCCTCGCTCGAGCGGACAACGTAAATTCTGGAATTTCCAGAATTGCAATTGAAGTTCAAATTTGATGTTCAAAGCCTCAAAGCATGTATTTTTGGTACACAAAAATGGAGAACCATTGTATGATTTAGTAAACACTTTCAATTAGAAAACATTCATTCAAAATCATGCTTCAATTGCCCAAATTTAGTTTTAATTCATCTTCTTTATATCAACCCACAATTCTAAAATATAAATTAGACTTCCCAACCTCTTGAAATTCCATGATGTATGTAATACAAATAGATCCAATTTTACTATTAATAACAAAATCAACTTAACTCAATTTTTAACCAAAAACTTAATTTATAATCATGGGTGTTCTAAAATGTATCTAAATTGAATAAAATTCTTAAATTACATCACATGCATGGATTGAATAAAAATCTAATTATAAAATCAAAACTTTAGGATTAATTCCATAACTTTCTTAATTCATGATGCATGGAGGATTATCTAAAACATGAAATTAATTCTCCAACTTTCTTAAAGATTCATTGATGCATGCAAAGATGAAGTCCAAATTCATGAGGAATAACACAAATTAAACTTACTTGATAAATTTTCCCAAACTTATTTCCTTAATCTCAAGCTTAACTCAATTTATTTTAACCTCAATTTAATTCATAATCATAGATGTTCCATAACATATATTTAAATTTTGAATAAAACTCTTTCATTATATTGCATGCATCGGTTGAGGATCAAAATCAAATCAATGTCTAATTTTCCATAAATTGAACATAACTCCATTTATTCATCATTTTGCTAACTTCTTCTATTTACATGAAATTGAACTCAAGTTAACAAATTTAAGAAATCATAATTCATACTCTTGGTCCTAACTTGATTTTACATGCAAACCCAAATCTTAACAATTTATAATTGATCTACAAAGCTTTATTTTTAATTCATTCAAAATACATCTTGAATCACTTTTTGTCTAAATTAATTAAACAACACCCAAAAATAATGGAATTCCTTACCTCATGATGAATTTTCCATAATTTTTAGCTTGAGTTTTAATAACCCACAAGGCTCTCTCTCTTCCTTTTCTTCCTTCCCCCTTGGTTTCTTAGCATCTTTCTTTCTCTAATCTTATTCCAGCAAGTTGAAGCTCCTAAGACTTCTTTCTTCATCCTTTATTTTGTTATTTTATTTATTAATTTAGTGGGACACTTGGCTTTATAACATAAGTCTATGTGGTGGTGTATTTATTATTTCCTTAACTAATTAATCTTGCTTAGAATACTTAATTGAGATTGAACTTTAATTATAATTAGCTTAATTAACCATCTCTTAATTTAATTAGTTGTGTAAAATCCTAACCCAATTAATTATGACTAAGTACAAATCTCACTCAACTTAATTAGTCTAATTTGACTTCTTTTAGAGCCTAAATAATTATATTTAAATTTATCATTCTGAATTAGATTTTTAATCAAACTCTCAAAAGGCTCCAAATATTAAATTAAACTTATTTTCATTCTCAATCTTGGTTTCTCACATCATTAAGGCCTTCAATTTCTAATCGGACTTCAAATTTCCGTCAATAAATTACATATCCAAATTGGGCACCCCATAAATAAATTTAATTCATAATAATCACAATTCTCAATCCTCATAATTTAATTAACTTAATTTTCTCCAATTCGAATCTAATTAATGGAATCTCAATTTTACTAAACTGCATCGAATATTTAATTAAACTCCCAAATGGGTCCGCAATTAAGATTAAATTAATTCAACTTCCTAATTTCACTTCCTTAAGCCATTTGGACCCTTAATTTCTAATTTCAAAATAAATCTTTAATAGAATCATATATGAATCAATCTCCATAATTTTTGTGAATCCCAAGTTAAATTATAATACTTGGCAATTAAATTTTAAATTGTCTTAATTAATTAAGTGCTAATCATTATACGTGGTGGGGGTCGTTACAACTACATAGCCCAAGAAGTTTCCAGATGATACGCCAAAAGCACATTTAAGAGGATTGAATTTCAACTTAAACTTTCTCATTCTTTCGAAAGCTTCTAAGTGAAACAAATGTTCCTCCATGGACTAGGATTTCACTACAATGTCATCAATATAACACTCTAAATACCCCCCAATAAGGTCATGAAAGATAGTATTCATAGCCCTCTGATATGTAGCCCCAGAATTCTTCAGGCCAAATGGCATTTTAACCCATTCGAATGTGTCAATATTCCCAGGACAACTGAATGCTGTCTTGTGGACATCTTCCTCTGCAATGCAAATTTGGTTATAACTAGAATGCCCATCCATCATTGATAAAATTTGATGTCCTGCTGAGCTATCTACCAACAAATCTACTGTAGGCATAGGATACTCATCTTTTAGGGTTGCTAGATTCAAGTTTCTGAAATCAATGCATACCCTTATTTTACCATTCTTCTTAACTACAGGCACAATATTAGATAGCCATTCAACGTACATGGCTGTCCTAATAAAACCTGCCTTGAGGAGTCTAAGAATTTCCTCCTTAACTTTCTGAATCACTTTTGGACTCATTCTTCTCGGTTTCTGCTTGTATGGTTTGAAATTAGGCCTCATAGGGAGCCTTTGTTCTACTAATGACCTATCAAATCCTAACAGTTCATTATAAGACCATGCAAAACAATCCTTATATTTCTTCAACACAACCAACAACTGGTCCCTATCAAAAGTATTCAACCAAGCACTTATATAGGTGGGCTATTGTGTAGAACTTTTCCCTAAATTTACTTCTTCCAAGGGGTCTTGCATCTGAGAACTTACTGATGCTCCTTCTTTAATTCCTTCTGACTTCGAAGCAATCTCCTTGCTTTGTTCTGATCTCAGCTTCTTTGATACAACATCTTTACCCTCCTCCTCATAGACAAAGTCTGTCCATAAGGCTTCTTCCTCCTGTATCTCCTGGACTTTTGTTTCAATGTCCAAAGCACAATATTTCTCTAAGGCCAAAAATCTGACCAGTTGCTGTTCCTTCCTACAACCAATCGTCATGGCTTCTTTCTCTTGCTCTTGCACTTTCTGGATTATTGATTTTACATCCAATATTGAGAACTTAATTAAAGCCAAAGACTTGGCTTCTTAGGCTTCATCTCTTTGCCTACAACAAGGCATCATTGTCATCCTTAACGACAAACTCTTCATCAGCACTCTCCTGGACTAAGTGTTTCAGGCGTGCCAATTCCTCATCATCCGTCACTTCGGCTGAGCCATCAAGTTTTCTCAGTATACTGAGTGGTGTCACTCCTTCAATATACAATTTAGCCTCTGCGAAGTCTGCACAGGCTATGAAGGATTGAGGATCTGCATCGATTTCCTCTGTCTCTCCATTGCCCAAGGCCATCATTATCTTCTGATGCAGAGAGGAAGACACACACTTGTTAGTGTGAATCCAATCTCTACCAAGTAAAGCATTGTACTTAGCATTACTGTCGATAACGAAGAATGCCGTCATGCAGTCCCTAGTTCCCACACTCAGGTTGATGGGCAAAATTCCCTGAGCCATCTGTTTGTCTCCAGCGAAGCCAACAATGGTTGTGCTGGTTGGGATTAACCTGGGGTTCTTTTTTCCTAGTTTCTTCAAAGAAGATTTTGGAAGCAGGTTCACTGCTGCCCCATTATCCACCAAGAATCCGTTCAATTGTATCCCATCGAAAAAGGCCTTGAAATACAAAGGCTTGACATGCTGTGTCATAGATGTCGTGGGATATTCAAAAGGATATGAGAGGTTTATACTTACCTCTTCTTCACTCTTGTATTCAGTTTCCATTGGGGTAGCCATTTCGGATTCATCTTGCACGATACTCACTTGTGAGTCTTCACTGGAGACTAGAATTGGATCAATTTCTTGACCCTCTTGGTTCTCATCTCCAGCTTGGAATTCATGTGTATGTACCATATTCACTGATACTGGAGGAAACGAGCCAAATTGGATGGCTGTTTGTACCTGTTTCTCCTCTTGGCCACCTTGTTCAACTACCTCAGAAGCATCTTCCATGCTGCATTCTGGCACTTCATTACTAACAAACTCCTTCGAATGGTCTGCTTCTGATGGCTTTTCAACCAAAAATGTTTGTTCAGCCATGAAGGCTTCGAACATTTCTTCCTCAACCATTTCTTTATTTTGGCCTAAGCCAATATCTCCCTCTGTCTTGTTATCACTCTCCATCAAAGCCTTCTCCAATTCTGCTAAACTAGACCTCTCTTTGGCTTTCAGTTCAAAGTGAACTTTGGCCAACTGTTCTCTGCTACAACCCATTTTGTCTTGTAAAGTTGATTTTGGACTATGGTTTGAATTTGGATTTTTCCTTCCTTCTATCTGCCCTTCTGCTTGGATCAATGAAGAGCTTTCTCCACTTTCTTTCAGGCCTTTCTGATACTGAGTGTACCTACGCTGGATCTTCCTCCTTTGTGATCTAGAAATTACTGGGACCATGTTGGGTTCCTTTGTTTTTTGATGCTTTAGTAACACCCAATTATTTGGGGCCACCAGGGGAGGTTTAACCATTCTACCCTAATCTCCAACAGCATTTCTTTGGGCATGTATCTCCCTAGGTTTGTTCTGCATGACAAACCAATCTGGGACTCCAGGTACCCATAAACCCACCAACTCAGTCGTTGAGCTGTCTCTTTCTTCCTTCGAAGCCAATTTCAAAGCTGTCTGTGAATGCCATTGCTTAGCCCTGACTGCTTGTTTAAGGCCTAATTCATGTCTTCCTTGTTTTGGGCCTAATTCAGGCCTTTCATGAAGGTTGCCACTTTCTATCTTGTGTGAGGCTGGTCTAGGGGGCCAATTTCTGGCTTTGCTCCCATAATTTGAACCTACTTCAGTCATTCTTTCAGGATGACTGCCTTCCATTCTGTAATAGTTGGGAGGTCTGGACTCATGTAAAGGCCTCTTACCCTTAGATTGCATTCCAGTAGCTGCTGATCTAGCCATGAGTGGCTGCTGCCTAGGGCCAGTCGGATATGGCCTTTTGTTATGAGCACTGGTTGGCTTAGGACGTCTTTGCACATCCCTGTAGTATTGCTTCCCATCAATTGGAAGCCCTGTCAGCCACTTATAGCTCAACTTACACCTGGGACACATTCTTTGGATAACTATTGCCTCTAAAGAATCATCATCCAGTGCTTCCTCATCAGAGTCATTTTCCTGACCTGTAGAGCCTTGTCCAACAACTGGTGAACTTCTAATGTCTTTCTTGACAGTAGTCTGGCTGGCATCATGCATCTGCATATTGACCTCTTTCAATTCCTTCAAAGATAAGTTCTGGAAGTCTAGTACAACAACATTAGCTGCACTTTCTCCAACTTCTGGGAATGGATTACTGTCGATCCTCATGGCCTTCTCTACTTTAGCTGGGAATTTCAAAATTTCTTTCCGAATTTGTTCTTAGATCCTGTCTCGAAAAACAATACAGTTTTTAGTTGAGTGAGACCAAGAATTATGCTATTTACAATACACTTTTCCTTTAAGTTCATCAATTTTGACTCCTTTTGGTAACTTAAGGAAGTTAGTCACAAGCAAATGATCAAATATGTCATCTGCCTTTGTTAAATCGAAAGAGTATCTCCTATGAAGGTCTTTCTTTTTAAACTACTGGTCAATTGTTGTATCCTTATGAATTAATGCCTCACAGATCACAGGTTTTTTTCCCACAATCTCTGCTGCATCAATTTCATAATTAGGATCTTTATAATATGTCTTGTATGATGCATTATTTCGATCTTGTTCTTCTTCTAGTAATGCTTCATATCTAGACACCTTATAAGTTAGTTCCACTAAGTCTCTAAACTCAGTTGAGTCAAACTTCTTTCGAGGCCTAAACTCTAAACCATTTTGAGCCAATCTCACGAACTCTGGCTCTGGCAGGATGACCCTACATTTGTTTCGTGCTCTTTTCAATCTGGCAATAAATTGAGCAGCCTTTTCATCAGGCCTTTGGCTCAACCTTGCCAAATCAGCCATGGACACTTCTGGCTCCGTTTGGAAGAATTGGGCATGAAATGCCTCTTTCATTTGTTGCCAAGTCTGAATGGAGCCAGGCGTAAGGTTAATATACCATACGAAGGCTGCCC